AAACTGGATGGCGAGGCAGCACCGCCCGTGTACCCTCGTCGTCCCCACCTCGTTATGCGTGGCCGATGTCCTTCAGGATCTGCTGCTCCTCCACCATCGCCTTGCAACTGCCCCGTACCTTCCCCGCCGCTGCCGAGGCCCCAGTGGGACGCAGTCGGCATGGTCATCGGTTGGGACACTTTGGGGATGGCCGGCAACATCGCCAAAATCGAAGTAGTCACCGCAATGCTCGCCATGTCCCTGATTCCGCCAATTCTGCCCGAGCCGTCGTCGCGTCGTCGCTGAAACTTCGCCTTCTCAGACAGGTCCACTTCCCCATATTCCGCCACCTTGTCGCACTCGCACCGCAGGTGGCCGTGCGAAGCACAGGGCGCCTTGCACCACGGACAGTCTGCAGTCTCCTGAAGTCCTCGCTGCTTCCTCGCGGCTGGCGCCAGGGGGGCCCCTGGCCGCGCCGCTCTCACCGCTCCTTGCTGCTTGGGCGGGGGTGCCAAGATGCCACTGCGCATGGCCTTATATGCCGCAGGTGCTCGGCCCCAATCGCCTCGGGAGCGCGACGCAGACTGCGACTATGTTGCCGCTTGCGTGGTCCCGCACCTCCTCGGGCGGCGTCGTCAACAGCGAGATCGCAACGTCTTCTCTGGACTTGATCTGGGCTGGGCTGACTATGTCTCGATCGATCGACGCGTGCCAGAGATAAAACCGAAGCAACGAGATGCCCAGAGCACAACGTCCACGACGAGCCTCAGACAGACGTGCCCTGACAGCTGGCCATGCACGCCAGAGGTCTGAACCTGGTAGCCTCCCCCCCCACTGCCAGGCCGCATCTCGACCCACCAGGTCGGCCGTCGCATCGAACATCGGGCCCATGGCCCCTGCTTCTGCGTCGCCAGGTAGCGCGTCAAGGGTCTTCCCTTCTGCGGATACCCAACCACAATACCAGCCAGGCAGCGCAAAGTGACCATCGCAACATCTGACGCGCCTGAGACGCTGCCTCCGTGGCCTGCTGATGCATAGACACCTGCCCGCCGAAACATCGTTGCCTTGGCGCCAATGCCTCTCCTTAGCATCTTCACCTTTGGGGCGCGGTCCACAGCGCCCTTGGGGCGTCGCTTCTCGATGGTCATCTTCGCCCTGATAAGCGTGCGCTCATGCCCCAGGATGCGCGATTGCTGCTTTGCTTCCACCCCCAAACGCTGGGCGCACTTTTCCATGACCTTCTGCGCAACAACTGACGTGGCCACGCAATGCGTCTTTTCGCCTGGACGAGAAGGCCTGGCTCCTTCGCCCTCTTGCAGAAGTAGTTGGTCGCCTTCCACATCACCTGCCCGCTTCGTGTCGCTACCGACCCGCTGCAAGGACGTGTCATCCATCAGGCCCCTCGGCTTCGCCGTCCTATAGATCCTCTGTGTGTCCTTCAAGCTGCGGTACAACAGAATCCCGACCAGAGTCGTGGCATGACTGCAGCCCGCTAGGATGCCTTGGAACGTGCACGATACTGGAGCAACTCCCGTCGGCCCGAATATATCGCGGCTGCGAATGCTGCATCGGCAAGCACTACGCACATCGTAAATTGTATCCAGCCGCCCGTGCCTCGCGCGAAAGGCCTGCATGCCGGATCGTCTCGTGGCATGTGGCCATGTCCATCAGCGCTGTGGTCGCCTGCCTACCAGTCACACTGGCGACCTCAGCCCCTACGTGCAGGTCGAAGGCGCTGTCCGACGAGGTGCGACCACCGCCGCTGCCCCAGGAAATAACATCCCAACGCTGCCGCCCCCAATTCGCCGATAGTTTCCGTGCTCGGCTCCATCACCTGAACGCGGCGTGGAGCAATGCAATCAAACGGTGACCTCCATCTAGCTTGCCAAGACGTACCATTTCGGAAACAAGCCTATTGGCGGCGAGGTCCCCCAGCTCCTCGCACTGTTGGAAACCGCTGAGGCGCGCTCCAGGACCACCCTCGGCAGCCTTCGGAACCCCTTCGGGCGCGCGCGGAAAGGCCCCAGCACCGTCCTCCCAGGAAACTTCCCCGCAGCAGCCCACATATTGTCAGCCGTGAGTGGGGGGGAGCATCTCCCTCCCCTCGAAGTCACGCGGCCTGTCCAGCAACCTGTCCCCATGCTCCGTCCAAATGTCCATCCAAAGGCACGCTTCCACCCGCTCATGAGACTGGACTCCATCTCCCGCGTCGACCACTTCTTGGAGCTCCGTGACCATGGACATCTTGAACGCAGCGCTAGCCCCTCCGCTGACAACTTTCTGCAAACGTGACTTCCAACCATCGCGCCCCCGCTTCCGCAGCTCCAGGGCATTGGCACGGGCGTGATCCAGCAACTTGCCCACTTGCGTCTCGAAGCCTGGCATCGCCAACACGCCAACATGCGATGCCCATATTCCAGAATACGTCAGGCCTCTTGGGGCACATACTTCCACGTAGACTGAGCCCTGGCCATCGAGCCCACCAGGCCCGTGAACTCCAGCAGGCGATTGCAGAACTTAC